TCGTTCCGATATTTTCCCGAGTTTATTTGTAGTGAGAGCTCAAATAAATTGCACATTAACATTGCCACCTTTTTCCTCTTCAAGATGGCATAATTAAAATTTCGTCTCTTGTTCTGGAGCATCAACTTTATTTTCTCCAAAGGATCTTCCAGTTCCTTAGGAATGACTCCTGAGTTTGCCACAGCTGGCATATTTCGAATGACTGCAGAAGCTGGACACCAGTGTTCCAGCTCCGACACCTCCTTTAACGAAGTAAGTTTTGAAGGGTAATGACTGACATTCATTAGTCTCATAGGAATAGTTTGCACGCACAAGAGTGTAGCTGCTATCCCTCGGCCAATAGCCTCGTCATGCATCCTATGTTCAAACATGACTATTTCTCTATCTGTAGTCTAGCCCTCTACCGAGCCATTCAATACAACTTCGCTTCGTTCTGGGATCACGGTGTTTTCAGGCAATAGAACTCGTACGTTTCCATTCCTTTCGCGGTGTAAAATGACCTCCTCATTGTTGAGTCTCAAGATTCCTTGCTTAAAGTTCAACACGAAGCCCTTTGTGTCCATGATGTCCATTTCGATGATTAAATCGTCCTCAATATCATCTACTATCGCCGGATGTTCGAATGTAGCTTTTCCTATTCCAAATGCGATGTTTACTTCACCGTACACGTTTTTTTGGTCTCCCGGCGCCCATCGTAGTCGCCATTTGGATGGTCGGATCTTCGCCGATGTCGGGCCTTATGATAGTCTTTGTCGCACCTGTATGCAGCAGTACGGTGTGGAGAGTCCCATCCACAAAAGCATCGACAAGAACACGATTAGACTGATGTTTAAGCGAGGAGACATGCACAGTATTCACTGATGGGGCTTGTTGGCTACAGGTCGACGACAGCCCCTTCACATCGACCTCCCTTAGTTTTCCGGATTGGCCAGATGAAGACCAGCACTTTCAGGGCAGAGTCTCCTAAGTTGGCCTATTTTTCCACATTTCCAAAATTCCAACTTGCTGTTCTGGCGGCGACGGCGACGTTTACTATCAAGTTCCTTAACAATGCCCTTGACGGACTCTTCGAACTCGTTGTCTCCTGGTACCATCTGGCGGACTCGGACCTGGCTTTTATTTGTATTTTTAGGGGCTTTGAATTCTAAGGCCCGAGTTAGCGCCTCTACTAGCTTAGGTGAATGTGCTAGTAGTAAGGCTTGCCTCAGTTCACCATCACGAAGTCCATCCAGGAATGCTTGAACTGCCAATCGCTCCATTATCTTTTCCTGAAGATCGGGATATGCTAATCGTACAAACCGCGCAATATCCGCTTCGAACTCGTACAAGAACTCGCCTGACTTCTGGAACCGACATATCGCATCTCCAAATGTCCTACTAGTTGATCGTAAACCTTTTGCTCTTCGAGTGATATTCTTTGAAGAATAGCTGCAGCATCTCCTCGTAGGGCCAAAGTGAATGCAGTTGCCTTTTCTGTCGATGACCAACCATTTGCATTTGCGGCTGCCTCAAACTGACGCCGGTAGACATTCCAAGGCGATGTACCATCAAATTGCGGCTGTTTCATTCGTAGATGACCAGCTGACCCAACACAAGCTCCAACCTCGATGGTCTTCTCATCTAAATAGGCAAATTTGCCTTGCACTTCTTGAATTCTATCCTCCAGAGTAAAAATCCGTTTTTCCAACTCGCAAGATTTCTCCATAATTTGATCTTCCAATTCTTTTTTTAAATTGGCAGTATTTTCCAGAAACTTCTCTTCTAATTAGGCTGTACCTTCTTGTAACTCCAAGAGGTTTCCTTCTAGGCTGGCTCAATTTTCCATGAGCTTGTTTTCTAACTTGGTCGAAAGGGTTTGCAACATTAAACCAATATCCCAGCACCGGTAAAAATAAAAATATCCGGCTTTTCACCTTCCTCAATCAGTACTTGACAAAGCCGCTCCTGTTATTCTGCTTTCTTTGCAGCCGTGTCGCACTCTCTTTCCTCCAGCTCTCTCTCTCTCTCTAAATCGGCAATTTTCAAATCAACCAATCGCGCCAATCTTCCTTCATTGATCGTCTGACTTATTTTCACTAAATTTTCAATAATCCACACCCCACTCCTGACACCAATGTAGCGTTTTTCTGGGTTCTTTTGGGTGTGGATTAAAACACTAGATTCCTCAAAAAGAAATGCACTAATTTATTTAACTTGACTAGATAGAACATATATGTACACCACTATTTATGTCTGACTAATTCTTATGTCGCGCCATTGACTGAACTATACTCCACTCTGCTATACTCTATTCTGCTTCCCTCTCCCTGCCGTCGAGTTATATAGTCCGCATCGTTGGTTCGAGAAGATTCCGGTGAGCCACATAGCGGCATTCCAGAATTGTCGAGGTCACTTCGCGTCGATCTTGAAGGCGAGTTACTGGCACGGTCCTCAACAGATGTCGCCAGGCGTCACGATCAGCGTAAAAACAGAGATCGGCCATGAAGCTCTGGCGAGTAGGAGAGTCTGGCGCGGTCCCCAACAGATGGCGCCAATAGCACCATTCATTCTTGTTACAATATATTTTACACACACTCATCTAAAGGATATCATTTGGTGAACTCTATAGGTAACGCTCCCTTTTTGAATTGTACTAGACTTAATGGGCATTTCACAGAGAAGATAGGCACAGATAAGTGACGTGTATAACGTATTGAGAGGACTGACGCGCTTGCTGTTCATTAAAACCAGTTGATCGCTTAGTTCTCTCAGTATATTTTACACACACTGAGCTAAAGGATGCCTTTTGGAGAATTCTGAAGGTAAGACTACTTTTCAGAATTGTACTAAATTTTATGGGCATTTGACCGAGAAGATAATCACAGACGAATTACGTGTATAACGTATTGAGAGGACTGACTGGCTTACTGTTTAATAGAACCAGTAGATCGATTAGTTTTCTCAATATATTTTACACATGCTCATCTAAAGGATATGTGGGCTGCCTTTTCAACAACCTTCGATAAAAAAGGCAACAGGCTTATAGGTCTTAGATCAGCAAACTCATCTGGATTTGATTTTTGTGGAACTGGTACCACCATTGCTCGCTTCCACGTTTCAGGGAAATAACCTCTTTCAAGACAACTATTAACATGGTACCCACCTTGGGTAATGTAGATGAGAGAAACGGGCAGACTGAGCTTAATCATAGACAAGCTCAACACGTCAGTACCTTTTGCATCGGACTTAAAACTACTTCATGAGGCTCTAGAAGCCTGAAAGAAAATTTATTAATATGAGGAAAATTTTCGTTATAATACCTTAAAACGTAATCAGGAGCATTTGTCGAATCGAACGAATCTGCAAGATGGTTTGGAATACTTGGTTTATCAGATGTCTGTGCTTTCATATTTTTCAATTCATACCACAATTTTTTCTGATCACGCCCTTTTTCCAAGTGAGCAAGATACGCCATTTTTCATGTCTAATGCACGATAGTGCAAGGTTTCTAAGTTCATTAAAAACTTGCAATCTTTCTAGACTTCTGTCTATCTTGTATAAATAATATGCTCTCGTTTTTTGCGTTAGAAGCTGTCTCAACGACAACCACGGCGCTTTCGGCTTACTCACGCGTACCGTCCTTATAGGAGAGTGATGATCGAAGATGTCAATTAACTTGCTACTTAAAAATTGAACTTTATCATCAATATTCCTCATATAGCACATTTCAATAAAATTTACTGTAGCCAGGTCATCAATGAAAGATCGCTCATCAAAGTGTGGGAGATCTCTGAAGGTGATCATTTTCTGTTCATGTTTCACACGGGATATGTTTAATATACAGCACACAATTCTATGATCGGACAACAAATTAGCATCTAAAGTAAACCAGTTAGTGACAGTGATTGGGTTATTAATAAAAATTGGGTCCAGGAGAGTTGCTGTACTGTCACTCTAGTGGGAGCATCAATAATTTGCTTGAAATCATACATATCCAAACTTTGTTGTAAGGTATTATCGGCAAATAATTTTACATTTAAATCACCAAGGATAATAATGTTTTTAAAATTACTCAGTACATTAGGCATTATATTTTCTAAGGCATTTGTACAATCAACTAGCCTTTGTGAAGGGAGACGATACAATATACCTACAGAAAAATAATTTTACCCATAGCTGCTCTAAAAACGGAACTGTGTTTAGTGCGATGTCATCAATAATCTCAGCACGTATATCTTGTCTAATATAAACACCACAAAAAAAAACACCACGAGACAACCTGTCCTTGCGAAAAAAGTTAAAATTTCTGATGTTAACTACATCCATTGTGATATCAGGGCTTAACCATGTTTCCTTTAGAGCAAGAATGTCAAAATCATTCTCATTCATCATGTCCGTAAATGCGTCAAAGCTTGACATCAGAGATCTTACATTTAGGTAACCTATTTTGCACTTCTTCGTAATACTTACAGGTTCCATATGGATTCAGGGATATTAACAAAAATAATAAAAAGTTAAAAATAAAGCAAATATATATACAAAAGAAGAGACGCTCAACTAATTGCTAGTCAACGTTAATTCTATTTTTCAAATTTATACATATAAGCTGGACAATGAGAATCATTTGCAGCATGATTAACTTGGACGTGTGACTTAGAACAATAACTAACACAATTTATACATATCACCTGGTCACTTGCGACCTCACACTGATTCGCCATATGATCCCTTGAGCATTTGATGCATGCAGAGGTAGACGATTTGCATTGCTTAGCAATATGTCCGAACTTACAGCATATGAAGCACTGGATTATCCGCAGATGATCAACAAGGGGACACTTTCTCCAACCCAACCAGACATAGCCTCCTGTTAAATCAGGGGATACTTCCAGAACTATTTTATAAGTTCTTTCAATTTTGGTGATAACTTTTAAATACGCATGATCATCCATGTCATTAAATCTCACGATGTTCTCAATTAACATCTTGTCATCCTTGATATCATCATAGAAATTCACATTTTATACTAGCAGACGGGGGTTATATTTTTTCAACTCGTTGGCAGTCAAACGGCCATTTAGTTGACCATTGACAGCATTTTTGAGTTTTGCCACATCGTCATCTCCCTTGCAGTACACAGCAACCCCTTCTTTAATTTTTTTCATGCCTCTAATGCATATATACGTATATAAAAGAGAAGGAATAATCGTTTTTGACAATACTTGTAACAAATCATCTCTATTATTCCTATCAGCTGATTTCACTAGTAAAACGGACGATTGTACTACATTTTTATCATTCTTTACATTTTTCTCATTCTTTACATTTTTCTCATTCTTTACATTTTTCTGTAATACCTGACTATACGTGTTCGTGCTGACAATATTTTTTACTGGAGTGATAGCACTTTTTTCCTCACTGAGCTCTTTTTGTAACGTATCGGATTTGAATTTATGTAACTCCAAGGAAGACTTGAGTTCGCTGATTAATTTAGCCTGGATATCCTTCTCTCTATTAAGAAATTCGATTTTTTTTGCAGTATCAACATGCGCGAATTACTATCACTATTAACATCCAGCTGCGATTTAGTGACGCTAGAGTTTCCTGTTTGTTTGCAGTTATCACAAAACCAGATCAGATTATCAAACTCACACAGATACTTGCAGATTAGATCCTTCAATCCAACACACACAGGATGGAATGATTTCACACACAGCTTGCATTTTATTACTTTACTGTTAACAATGAAATTATCAGCACATATAGCACATACGTCCACATCGTCTGCCATCTCAACGTGACTTCAATATCGTAGATGTTCAATGCTAGTTGCAACAACATACTACTAACGCTCTTCAATAGTAAACGATATATTGTACACAATTACACAAATTGTAAGCAATGTATGTGTCAACTAAATGTACATTTCCATTGTAACAAGTCAAGTTAGGGCTTTTAGCAACAGGTACTATGACGTACCTGGTTTAAAAATTACCATCCATTACACGGTAATAAGCAAATAACGTAATAACATAGTTATGTTTAAGCTGCGGAGACTTGGTTCGCCTCAAATGCCGCTTGAGCAAAGCTATTGTTTGGCATCAGAGATTTGTGACGTATCTCAGAAAACACACTCCAGCCCGCCGCGAGCCTGAGACTACTATGATTGAGCAGGCGGAAAGGTAGACGCATTTCATGTACTGTGGGCTGTCAATTGTGACACTCTCTGCTACAACCGACTTCATCCATCTGGGAGCAGATGCACCATGATAAAGTTAATGTACAGTGACAAATAAATACTCTGATTGCACAGTTATTTGGGCGTAAAATACGGTAAAACTGAAAGTGGTTGCCACATGAGTGACCCCGAGACTTTCAAAAACGAGAATTCCCAATTTCAATATTATTCAACCCAATACCTATGTTGTCTGTTTCAATTAGTTTGCACACTCTGACCTGAGGTTAGAACTAGCAATGTTGCTGGTTTCCTCATTCAAATATCTACAGAGCTTACCAGCAACCCCTTTGGTTGGTTGAGAACAAAAACAGTATCTATATTTCAGTTGAGATGGCCTCAGCCTGTCAGTGCCCTTCAAAAACCATCTTATGTCTGCAACGTTAGTAACATTTTGGGTAAAAGACTGTTAGCTCAAACAATTATATCTTGTTCTCTTATCACCTGTAGGTAAGAATTTCAAGGTAGAAAACCAGACATGTATTTCTTCCCGACAAAGGTCCTACCGTAATCTAAGCCCACAATACATGAACCAAAAGCAGGACTGTGACAGGTGTAGCTCCCACTCCATTTCCACGTCCCACTGACGCAAAAGCTCATCCGTATCAGCATTACTCTTAGATTTTATATGTGACGCGAAGGCTATTTTTCTCTTTACACAATTGCCATAGTTTTTCCGCAACCTGGTCCAGACGTGGAAACGTGGAAACTAGAAGCTCTCCATTCTGTTGATGTAGGATGGGGAATAATATGCGACAGTCCATCAATTCGGTAGCAAAGCATTCACCACAGAAGAAAACTACCAGTGGTTCTTAATGATTAGCATGTGGGATCTTCTTCTCGGGTGACCAAAAACTAGAGACTTTTCCCTGGCCAACGAATGTCCCAGTCCGAGAAATTATACAACTAAGATTTGGATATTTCAATACCTCTGACCGCATCTGCCAGTTTCTTTGAGCCGATACGTACAGTCCTGTTCCATAGTTATCATCAGCCAGGTGGAATTTGCTATCACAAGCAAAATGTAATGCTAGTCTACCATAGATGTACCTAATTTCTATATGTTGTTAATGAAAAATAGTACTTCAGCTGATTCGTACCTGTCATGTGCGTATTACTGACCTGTTCGAAGGCTATTCCAAACCATATGGAATTTGCTATCACAAGCGAAATGTAACGCTAGTCTCACATAGATAAAACCTAATCTCAATCTGTTATTAACGAAAAATGGTACTTTCGTGGTTTCCTAAACTGTCATGTACATTCTGACAAAGATGTTCCAAAACCTGATGAAATGTGCTATCACATGCAAAATGTGATGCTAACCTCGCATAAGGTGCTCACTGTTTATCTGGTTTCTTATCACCAGATATACGTTGGCGGTTTTCTAACCTGACGTATTCATAATTACACACCTGCTCCATGGTTATCGCAAACCACGTGGAATTTGCCATCAGAAGCAAAATGAGCGCTAGTCTCGCATAGATGTACCTAATCTCTGTCGTTCATTAATGAAAAATGGTACTTCGGCTTCTTCCTAACTTCTCATGTGCGTCCTTACAATATATTGTTCCATAGTTGTCATAAACCAGATGGAATTTGCTATCCCAAGCAAAATGTACCGCTAGTCTCACATAGATGTACCCAACTTTTATCTGTTATAAATGAAAAATGCTATATTGCTACATTGCTATCACAAACCAGATGGAATTTGCTATCCCAAGCAAAACGTGCCGCTTGTCTCACATAGATGTATCCAACTTTTATCTGTTATAAATGAAAAATGCTATATTGCTACATTCCTATCACAAACCAGATGGAATTTGCTATCCCAAGCAAAATGTGCCGCTTGTCTCAGATAGATGTATCCAATTTTTATCTGTTATAGATGAAAAATGCTATATCGCTATCAAAAACCAGATAGAATTTGCTATCTCAAACAAAATTTAATGCCAGTCTCGCATAGATGAACCTAATCTATTTTTGTTATTAATGAAAAATGGTACTTCGGCGGTTTCTTAAACTGTCTTATGCAATCTTATTATGCTGTTCCAAGGTTATCACAAACCAGATGGAATTTGTCGTCACAAGCAAAATGTAACGCTAACCTAGCATAATAAACCTAATCTCCATCTGGTAATAAGGAAAAATATATCTTAACGACTTCCTAACCTGCCATCTTCAAACTTACAGTCCTGTTCTATGGTTATCACAAACCATATGAAATTTGCTATCACAAGCAATTGACTAGAAATTGTTGACCATACCTTATTGCTACGTTGTCCAAAACGCTTTCAGTGTTGTTATTTGTGCAACGGAGTTCAGTATTAAGTCATTATCCCAAACATCTTCATTCGTCCTTGGTATGGACTATCGCATGCCAGGTCCACGTTTCTATCCCAAGTAACCGAGTCTAATGCTTCCACATTATCCCAAATGCCTTCGTTCGTTCTTGGTGTGGAGCTGACTATCCCAAGCCAGGTCCACGTTGCTATCCCAAGCAACTGAGTCTAATGTATCAGCGTTATCCCAAACGTCTTTGTTCTTCCTTGGTATGGAGTTGGCTATCATAAGCTAGGTCCACGTTGCTACCCCAAGCAACCGAGTTTAAAATTTCAGCGTTATCCCAAACGTCTTTGTTCATCCTAGTTATGGAGTTGGCTATCACAACCTAGATCCAGGTTGCTATCCCAAGTAACAGTGTCAGAACGTTATCCCAAACGTCATGTTAGGCACAGTTCGCAGCGTCGGTGAATCATCCATACTAATATTCATTTAACTTGCACCTAAAACAGATCGGTTAGTCGACAGATACCTGGTGGTGACGCCCTTTCAGAAAAGGATGCCTACACGCCACTTCCTAATTTTGCTCCTCGACGAAAGGAACCTTCAGGCGACCGTCTGTGGGTATCTTGTTCGACAATGCACATCTATCGGCCAACCTTATGTCCTGTTTTCTAATCCTAAATGTTCAGCGGTTCCTCGACACCGCTGAAAACGAAGAAATGCGCGCCGATGGAGGTGTTAACAGTTTGGCACGAGAGCAAGGAATGGTGGTTTATTGGCAGTCAGAAGGGAGAGGGGTAGGGGGAGGGGGCACGTTGCCGCTTTCCTTCGCTGCGTGCGCGCTTTGAAATCGTGGGGGTTGGGTACTACTACGAGGGTACTACAATATGTATTCTAAATATTTACTTCGAAGAGGACGGAACATAATTCTCTTACTACAGGGCATCCAAGATAAGGATCCTATGAATGGGGTTCTCACTACCTGTGAGAGATACCGCTCAGGTTTAATTCAGGAAGAAGATGCGTTCTTTGGGGCGTATTTACATGCCGTTGAGAAGATTGTAAAAACGTCATGGATTACTGAGATATTTGTAAATAGCTAAAATTTCAATATCATATATCAAAGAACCTATGAAACTTTTCTATTGGCATTTTTCATCCACTAAATGATGGTATTTTTAAAATTTGTGCCCGATGGTTTGTTTTTGCCAAGCCATCATCAACTTTATCTTTTATGTGGTCCGACAAAAGTACACCCTGTATCTAATAGCATTTTTTATACGAATTCAACGATGTATCACATGTTGCATTTATTTTCTTGGTTATAAGAAAAAATGCATTTTTTCTGTTTTTTTTTCTATTTTTGTTTAAGTAGGCGTAGCAAACAAATACTTGGTTTGACGTAAATACTTGTCATCGAGTATTGTCATTATTGTGTATTGTTAATATTGCTTTATTACCATCAAAGATGAGAGGCGGTCATTTTAGCAATGAAGAAAAGATAGATATGATGACGTGATACATGTTGTGCTACATAGATACTAAAAATACTGAAGGAATGTATCTTGATAAATCTCCCGAAAGAAGGCAACCAAGTAAGTCAATTTTCTTAGAGCTGGCTCGAAATTTAAATTAATATGGTTCATTCAAAAAGTCTGTTACGTCTCGGAAAAATGAATCTTTAGAGAAAGCTCAGAATAGTGTTTTACAACCAGTTGCTGAGAGCTCTGATATATTGACTAGGCAAATTGAGAATAATGTAGGAGTATTCAAATCCACAGCCCAATGTGTTTTGCGTAAAAATCGATATCACCTTTATAAATTCAGGATTTGCTAAGGACCAGGGAATAGCGAACGGCGCCAGCACTTTCGTGAGTCGACAACACGAACGTATGAAGACAATTTTAATTTCCCTTCAAAAGTAGAATGGTCTGACGAGAGTATGGTCACTAATAATGGTATTTTAATCGCCGCAACACTCATTACTGGG